ATATCTCATTTCTTAGCAATTTGGCGCTCATCATGGGTGAACCCTAATCGACGTTTTTGGGAACTTAGGAAACTACCATATATTAGGAGGAGTGACCGGATGTAGACTGAAAAAAAAAGAGAGGAAGGAAAAAGATTCCTAAGAAGGTGTTTTTATTTTGGTCTAGAGCGAAGTCAGAAAGAGGAGTATCTAGTAAAGAGCTATAGAAAATGTTTTGAACCTAGACGTTAGGAGGAGGGAAAACACTTAAAAACAAGGAAGTGTGACAAAAAGCACTTGACTAAAGGAAATGTTCCTTCTGAAAGCGCCAAATACCAAGTATGGGATGACGTATTTTCAAGCACACTCTATTACACGCGTATCAATTGAAAATTGAGCGTTTTTTTTTTTTTTTTTAAGGTAAATATTAATATCCAATTATAAAAATTAAACTAAATAGAATAAGAGAATGGTATAGTGGGGAAAAGAAGAAGACATCCTCTATTATACTCCATATGATAAGAGAGGAAAAGAAGTTATATTGATGATCATCAATTCAAACAAAAACAGTTATATGCAATAATGCAAACTAGGCAGTAATTGATAAAGGGGTGAGCATTTTCATAATGAGACTGTCCATTAAACTTACTTGTTTGTGTAATTAAACTTTTTAATAATGTCAATAAAAATATGGGGTCCATTATATTAAACCCTATCTTTTTTTTCCCCTTTTTGCTAGAAAGCTACATATATGAGACTTTGAACCACAATTCACCTTTTCTTTGTGTCTAATTATGAACTTTAACTATATTATTTGTTACCAAATCTTATTGGTGTTATGTCGTGGTACATCAAACATTTCATATTTGAAGGCTCTATGGAGAATATAGAAAAAGAAAATTATATATTTAAATTCCTATTGTTGTCTGTTGATATTGTAATAATATTGAAATTCTTGATTGATAATTTACGTGGAAATATAGAAAATTGGAATTGTTTGATGTTTTTTCTGATAAAAGAAGGTTATCTCCGTTCATATGTAAATTTGGTAAACCTATTTAAAGTTACCAAACAACCTTAATTCAAATAATAAAACAAAAGCATATATATATATTGCTTCACTAATTTGCTATTCATTCTTGATTGGGCTATCAATTCCAATCACTTGAATAGACCATATATAGGAGGGAGGAAAAAAAAAAGAAAAGGAAATTCAAAATTTTTTATTTTCTACTGGGAAAGTAATAGTAAAGAGCTAAAAATGTTACTTGAGTTGGAAAAAACATAAAACAAGAAGTGACAAAGACTTGCTAAGAAATGTTTTGAAAGCAAAACCAAGTTTGTAGTAAGCACTTAAAGTTATGAAAATGACAAGCCAAACAAAAATTTTTCCTTGTCTTGAAATCCAAATCCTAATTCCTAGGTGTTTAAGGATTTCTCTATTTTGCATATAAATATGGTGATATAACAAAAGAATGGGGAGACCAATAATCCATATGACCTAATATTCAAAATTTCCCTTCTATGAGCGTACAGACAGAATTTTAGGTAACAAGTCACTACACTGTCAAAGGCCAAAAACCCTAATTTGGACTTAGCTCATAGGCCCTAATGGCCATATCTTATAATTCAAATTTTGCATGTCAATATAACCAAGTAGGATTATTTCCACTTTGTTTCATGGATTCAAAAATATGCTTAGATTTGGAAGGTGGATGACAGTTGTGACATATACCAATTGAATATTGACTGATTAGATACTGATTAATTAAACATTAATATTGACTACTAACCTCATTTAATGCTTTAATTATCACCTCCATTTGGTAGATAAAAAGAAAACTATGCATCTTTGTTCATTTAGTCATCTTCTATGAATTTAGCAAAAAAGTATTGAATCTTTATTTTTTTTATAAATATCCTAAAACCTCCAGTCATTGGAGGTTAAAATGAGATTTCATTTATGTCGGCCAATCAATAGAATCCCTTTTTACCCTTTCTCTTTTTATTAATCATAGGTATTTCCGGACAATCAAACTATAATCAAATCTTGCTCGCACTGGATCAGTCTCCTTAGAAATAAAATATTCTCAATGAGTATTTACTTCATCCATGAGGATTAAATTTTTAATTTCACTTAATAGATAAAAGTATCGAATTACTCGTCTTAACGCTCGTTATTATTAATATTATTTTTGATATAACAACCTAAGCTATGTTATATGTTTCACACAACTATGAATCTTTCCCGATCAAGAAAATAAATAGTGTAAATTATTGTTGATAGTGATTCAATGCATTTTGGCAAATGGATAGAAAAAATGAACTAACTAAATCAAGATATAAAATAAGTCATTGATTCTAACTCCAATAATAAATGAATATCAAAATTATAATCATTTCAGAATAATATATTAGTCCACCCATCAATCAAAAGCCTAAAACTAAATTAAAAAAATATGACTTGACTAAGTAAATGGGTTACAATTTATATTTTTTTTATTACACTTACCCCTAAGTTGAAGTACATGAGCCTAGCAATTTTGCTAAAGTTTGAGGTAGAAGTTATAAATATGCAAAAAATTATTGTTGAAATTTTATTTTTCATGGATATAGCTAAAAATATATATAATTAAAAATAAAATAAATACATTCATAAAAGTGATAGAGCATTTGATGAGTCACACTAGAAACGCTCTTGGCCCCTCCATAATCCACACCTCCTTTTGCTAACCTCTTTCAAAAATACTGCCCTAGAGAATCACTACTTTTATACTTTATTCATGAAATATTAATAACAATCATATCCAAAAGATAAGTGAAATTGGACATATATTTACTCAAATAATAATAATAATAATAATTATAACACTAAAATGCATTATTTAGGTGAGCATTAGTGCTTTTTGAATATAATATAAAAAATAAAATGGAAAAGAATGTTATAGATTAAAAAACATGTAATAAGTAAAATAGTGTTTTATTTGGCTTTATAAATTCAAAAAAATAAATAAATAAATAAATAAGGCATAAGTACTAAGATATGTATCGAGTACTTATTTTTATTTATTTATTTTGAAATTATTTTTGACCAAATACGGACCATTTTATCTTAATAATTTTACAAACATCAATGCTATCCTAATTTTAATGATTTCTCAAACCTTCAATTTAATTGTTAATATACCATTTTTTTAGTCATTGTTATAAATTTATTTTTAATTTGTGTATTGACCAAACATATTTGGTTTGACTACTTATTTCTTATTTTTGACTTAAAAATATACGTTTTAACTTACAAATTAATTTTAAAAATATATATTTAATATTTTGGTAAAACTATTCAAACCTAACTTTCAAGTGGTTTAAGTATTTAGGTAATTAATACTTAAAAATAACTTAATCTATCAAAATTATCAAAAAAAGATAATGTTAAATAAATAGAAGTCTGCTAATTAGTCTTATCATATCTTACCAAAGATACGAGAAGTAAAATGTTTTGAATTCGAGTTTTCTATATAATAAAAGTTATTATCAATTTGATAAATATTATTTAAATAGGAGGACTTCCTTGCAAATAAGGATAATGTTGATATTTAAAAAACTTACTAGGATAATACCAAAAATTAATTTTAAAATAAGCATAAAATCATAAATATGATATTTTTAATTTCTAACTTTAAATAATTCTTTTAATTACAAGTCAAATTAAATTTTACTGCTGATAAATTTTTAGTTAAAAATAAGTTTTACTAACATAAAAGCCAAATTAAATATCATCTTGACAATTTAATTTTAAAATTACTTATAAATTAAAAAAAAATACATTTTAAATGAAAAATTAAAAATAATCAATCAAACCAAAAACTGTACAAGTGATTGGTAAAAAAATCCAAAACAAATCAAAGTTGTTTTGGATCATCAGACAGTCTTAAATAAAGATTTTGGACTAATAGTGTTGTAATAATTATGGATTAGTGTTAAAAACATTGTGAAAGCTCCTCTCTCTCTCATAAAATAAAACAAACCAACCAAGTCAACAAAATAAAAACAAAGGCTACTATGCCATGTAGTGGGAAATGGGGTATGACATAAAAATGAATTTATTTATTAATATTATATAGTGAATGAATGAAGCTACAAAAATATCCAATCTCTCTCTCTCCATTTTATCCTAATAATCTTTTGTCACCTACTCTTATAGGCTTTCATCTTTATTTAAAAAAAAAAAAAAAAGAAAACAAATAAAGTATAGTAATGATGAAGAAAGAAAAGGGAAAATTCCCTCTCTTTGATTGCACATTGGCATTTGGTGGTGAGCCTTTTACAAATCAAATTAAAATTAAAATAAAAAATAAAAAATATAAATTCAAATTCTCAAATGGGTTTGTCTTGGTCAAACAAGACCTTAGAACAACAACATGAACATATGCAATTCCTAGGTTGCCCTTTTTATGTCCATATTCTCAATAAAAACCCACATGAACAATAAGTCACAAAAGGGAACGCCAAATTTATTTATTTATACTAGTGGGGGAAAATGATTATTATTATATAATAAATATTCATATATATATATATATATATATATAATAAATATTCGCACTATATATACGTACTAATATATACATTCTAAATAAACTAAAAAAAGACAGTAAATGGGGGAAAAAAAAAAAAAAAAAAAAAAAGAAAAAAAAAAAAAAAAAAAGGAAGAAACGGACAAGAGAGCCCTTCCCTACAAGACCCCAATAACACGAAAGAAAATTATAAAATAAAAAGCATAAAAACACCGAGGGATACCAAAACGACAACCTTTTTAGAACGCGTGTGTTTCACTCTCCAATGACCAAGAAGTGACAGCCAATGTCTGTAGTGCTTTCGTACGTCGACTGTGGTGTTACTGCATTGTAGCAGTTTCCATCAACATGGCTCCTTCATGTTTCCCACGCGCATATAATGAGAGAGTGTTCACGCGCCAGCACGCCCACTTGAACTACTCTCTCTTTCATGTCCCTCTTCTTAATTTTCTTCTTCTTTAGCCATCGTTTCTTTCTCTCTTTCTGCTTTCTTCACATTTTCTCTCTAAACAAACATCGAAATAGACCCGTCAGTCAATCAGTAGAGCCAAATCAGCTTCCAATTAAAATAATTAATTAATTAATAATCGGCCCAGATCGCCGGAGGCCGCCATGGATATTCGCCGGAGAATTAAAATCCGGCAACCACCGCCGGCGGCCTTTCCTAGCTGAATGAATGCAAACGAAACGCCGCCGGTTCGAAACCAAACTGGGCAAAAACCCACAATTCCGACAGAGCAGTCCGAGTTTTATTTCACTTATTTTCTTCATTCAAACGAGTTGGAGAACAATGGCGACCACCACTAACACCGCTACTGCAGCGGTGGACTCGGCAACATCGGCAGACGAACTCACCGCCAAGGCCGTGCACAAACGATATGAAGGTCTTGTTATGGTTAGAACGAAAGCGATAAAGGGGAAAGGCGCGTGGTACTGGGCGCACTTGGAGCCCATGTTGGTCCAGAACGCCGAAACCGGTCTTCCTAAAGCGGTCAAGCTCCGGTGTTCTTTATGCGACGCCGTTTTTTCTGCTTCCAATCCTTCTCGCACTGCCTCTGAGCATCTAAAACGCGGGACGTGTCCGAATTTCAACTCGCTTCCTAAGCCCATTTCGTCTATCTCTCCATCTTCAAACGTAGCCTTAGCTTCACCGTCTAGTGTTGGCGGTGCTGCGGCGGTTTCATCTTCTGTAGTACACAATAATCGAAAACGTTCTGCTGGTGCAAGTTCTGGGGTGGTGTCTGCTTCGTCGTATCCTATAACGGCTGTGGCTCCTGCTGCTTCTGCCAGTTCATACCAACAAGTAAGTCCTCTTGCTATCGTGGATCCATCCAGGTTCTCAGGCGAGCTAGCAGTGTTGCCTCAACAACCACATTTGATGCTTTCCGGCGGGAAAGAAGATTTAGGTGCTTTAGCCATGTTAGAAGACAGTGTAAAAAAATTGAAAAGTCCTAAAACTTCACCTGGGCGGGCTTTAAGCAGGACTCAGATTGACACTGCCCTTGATTATTTAGCTGATTGGGTTTATGAGTCCTGTGGGTCTGTCTCGTTTTCTGCTCTCGAGCACCCGAAATTTCGGGCATTCTTGAATCAAGTTGGCTTGCCTGTCATTTCAAGAAGAGAGTTTTGCGGTAGTAGACTTGATGTTAGGTTTGAGGAAGCTAAGGCAGAGTCTGAGGCACGAATTAGAGATGCTATGTTTTTTCAGATTGCATCGGATGGCTGGAAAGTTAAGAGTTATACAGGTTTTAGTGAGGTGAATTTGGTGAATTTGACAGTGAATTTGCCTAATGGCACTAGTTTGTATCGGAGAGCTGTGTTTGTTAGTGGTTCAGTGCCTTCTAAGTATGCAGAGGAGGTTTTATGGGAAACCATATCAGGCATTTGTGGAAATGCTGTCCAACAGTGTGTAGGAATAGTTGCAGACAGGTTTAAGGCTAAGGCGTTGAGGAATTTAGAGAATCAGAACCATTGGATGATTAATCTTTCTTGTCAGCTTCAAGGGTTCACTAGTTTGATTAAGGACTTTAGTAAGGAGCTTCCGTTGTTCAAAACTGTCACTGAAAATTGCTTCAAGCTTGCAACTTTTTTCAATAACAAGACTCAAATTCGAAATAGTTTCCGTAAGTATCAGTTACAGGAGTATGGGCATGCAGGACTATTAAGAGTCCCTTTGCGCGACTATGAGAAATTGGATTTTGGTCCTGTTTATACTATGCTAGAGGATATATTGAGCTCAGCTCGAGCATTGCCAATGGTTTTGCTAGATGAATCGTATAAGATAGTATCCATGGAGGATCCAACAGCTAGAGAAGTTGCTGATATGATCAGAGATGTGAGTTTTTGGAATGAATTGGAGGCAGTCCATTCATTAGTTAAGTTGATTAAAGAAATGGCTCAGGAGATTGAAACAGAAAGGCCATTAGTTGGGCAATGCCTGCCATTATGGGATGATCTAAGAGCAAAAGTGAAGGAGTGGTGTTCAAAGTTTCACATTGCAGAAGAAGCAGTAGAGAAAGTGATTGAAAGACGGTTCAAGAAGAATTATCATCCTGCTTGGGCTGCTGCATACATACTTGATCCACTTTATTTGCTAAGGGACACAAGTGGAAAGTACCTTCCTCCTTTCAAATGCCTAACACCTGAGCAGGAAAAAGATGTGGACAAGCTTATAACAAGGCTTGTGTCCAGGGAGGAGGCACATATTGCATTAATGGAACTCATGAAATGGAGAACGGAAGGACTTGATCAGGTGTATGCAAGAGCTGTCCAGATGAAGGAAAGAGATCCCATTACAGGAAAAATGAGAATAGCCAATCCGCAAAGTAGTAGGCTTGTGTGGGAGACTCATCTTACAGAGTTTAAATCACTAGGGAAAGTTGCAGTTAGACTTATTTTCCTTCATGCTACTGCGTATGGGTTTAAATGCAATTGGTCTTTATTGAAATGGGTGTGTGCTCATGGGCAATCAAGAGCAGCCATGGACAAGGCACAAAAGTTAATATTCATAGCAGCTCATTCCAAGCTTGACAGACGGGAGTTTTCAAGCGATGAAGATAAGGATGCAGAGCTTTTCGCATTGGCAAACGGTGAGGATGATGTGCTGAATGAGGTTCTTGTTGATACATCCTCAGTGTAACAATTTTTTTTTACTACTTTCAAATTTTAAATTTGTAGGATTTATTGAATTCTTTCCACTATTTATCTCTCTTTTTTTTCTTTTTTCCATTTTTTGTACTTCTTTACTTACTCTTTAGAAGATTTTGGACAGTCAGATGGGAGGAAGAGGGGGAATTGATAGGGGATTCAGTTTTTGTATGCCTAGCTAGTAATGCATGGGCTCATGATTTGAGCAATTGCCCATCTTTCATCCTAGAATGATTTTTGAAGTTTTTGAGTTTGCAGTAAAGAAAATCTTCTTGCTTGTAAAGATAGCAATGGCTGTACGAAGAGATGTTACAGATCAGGAAGAATGTTGTAAAATTTTTGTTCCTCAAGTAATTTGGATAAATGACAGTATGACAAGGGGAAAGGTTTTATTATTTCTCCTTTGGTTATGAGATCATAGCTCTATTCTAATTTATCATTTGAGTTTTAACAAGAGCAGTGGAAAACAATCACTGCAAACATTATGTGCTAAATGCTAATCATTTTCTGCTTTCAATTTAGACTGAAAGTATATACGTTGATGACTGCACTCATAACCTTACTGTGAAACTTTGGTGGCCTTTCCATACATTTAATAGGCTGTTCGGTTATATGGTTAGTCTCTCTATAATACTAATCTCCGGCTCTTCGCCGCTCTGCATGATTGTTGAAACACTTATCTCCAAAGGTGCTTGACCTTTTGTCTTAAAAGTTTGTCAAATGCCCCTTCTTAAAAAAGTCCAACTGATCTTTTGAAGTTGATGCAAGTGTGCAGTGCACCCGAGGCTATAAATTGTCTTGTGGATCCCTCATTTCTTGCTGGTGATCTTATAATTCCTTAAACAAGCAGCATGAATGGCTGTATTTGTATAATCATATGTCTCCAAGTTTGAATTGCATGTTTTTCTTTCCATGCATAAGATAATGATTTAAAGGGGTCTGTTTGAAAACTTTCTGCTTTCTTGTTGTCCTTGGACTGTTGAGAATATGCGGTCCTTTATATGGCCGTATAGAAGATGTCTTAGCGAATTAGACTTAGGAGGAGGTTCCTGCTCTAGGTTTGATGAACAAATTCTTGGATGCACCTTTATAATGTATATGCCTTTTGATGTTATGAGATTGGGTAAAGTTCCTGCCAAAATGAGCACCTGCACATGATCTTAGTCTTTTGAAGTAAATTTATCAGAGCTACTCAAGTGGCTTGCCTAGTTCCTCCTTGCTTTCACATATTCTTTAAGGTTTGGATATGCTACTTTCCACTTTTCTTTTGTTTTTTGATAGCTATCGTTTTAACTTCTTAATGATGTGAATTTAATCAGCGGTGGAATTCTTTAGTGGGACTAAGTATCAGGGAGTAAATAAAAGTTTGATTTGAATGTTGATTATTATTGTTAGTTGAATTGAAGAAGCTAAAGACAATTATGCTAAATTGATCTTTTTGGTGGCAGAAGCATTCGACAAAGATATTGTTGGACTAGAGAGGCCACCATAAGATGGTTGGTGGTAAGTAGAATGGAGAAATGGACTCTACATGATTAAAGATTGGAATGCTGCCATAAGCATCCAAGAAGAGAGCTTGACTTGAAATATTTGGGAGTGAAACGCCTTTTTGTAAGACAGCAGAGGTTACTGGAACAAGCCGGTAGGGTGAATGGCAAGCCAGATCGCGCGGCGTGGGTCAGCAACCTCGGAAGGACCTCAGAACTCACCTTTCTAGCTGGAGAAGCACTTTATAACAGTTAAATTAATTTTCTTCATCTCCCAATATCCATATTATCCTGGCTTGGAATGTGGAACCCCACCATATGAACAAGTGGAAGTCTTTTTCTAAACTTTGGTTCTCATCAGGTTTTTTCCTATCAAATCATCTCTCTTTGTGGGTAACGTCTTCTTTAAACGGTCCAAAACTCTTAACGTTCATGCATTGCAGGGTTATTGGGTAATGCTCCTCATAATTGCAAGACAGGTGTTTATAGGACCCAAAGCAAAGGAAGATTGTCGGCTTGAAGCAACATTGAAGATGCTTCAGATTGATTCTGCAAAAAATTCTATTTCTAACTTTTCTTTTTTCCTTTTTTGGTTGTATATATGTAATATATTTAGTTGTGCAAGTATTAATTGGAATGTATAATTGAATAGCAAAGTGCTTTATCTTAACTTGGACGTTCTTTGATTCCTTGTAAGAAGATTTTGTTGCATGATTTTTACTTGTACATCATCAACCTTATATGTGGTGTAAAAACATGGTTTCAAGATTTCTAATAATATTTTTTGACTTAGTGGTACTTGGAGTCATTTTTAGAGTTATAAAGTTCCAATTTCGAACTTGAGATTTAAATTAACAAAGAATAAAAAGATTTTAGTTGTGGAACCAGAGAGTTCTAAAACTTAGAGCCAAAGAGAAAAGGAAAAAAAAAAAAGAAAAAAAAGGAATTAAGAGGTTGAATTTGATAGGCAAAATAGATAAAGGGAAGTGGCAATTCATCAACCATTCTACAAGAAAGCAAAGCCTTCCAATTATGGGAATGCCGCGACTTCTTTTATAGCTATTTGGTAGCTTTTTCATGAGAAAACCCAAGTATGGATTTTTCAAGAAAACTGTAAAAGTCATGTGTTCACTCATCATCATACAATTACCTCAAAGGGGTTAAAAACTTGGAATAATTTCTTGACGGGTATCAACCTTTTTTTTTTTTTTTTTTTTTTTCAGAAAGCTGTAAAATCATGTGTTCACTCAGTCATAACAATACCCTCAAAGGGTTAAAAATCTGGAATAATTCTTGACGTAGTTATCAACCTTGGTATCAACCTTTTTTTTTTTTTTTTTTTGAAAAAAAAAATGAAAATTTCACCCACCCACCATTAGAAAGAAACAGTAAAAGAGGTGGAAAATCAAGTGGGTTTTTTTTTTTTTTTTACACTTTGTTGATAGTAGAAAAGTAGAAGGTAATTGATTGATTTTTATATAATTACCATTGGAAGGTCTTGTAATTAGTGATTAAGTGGAGAGACAGAAATTCTTGTCGGCAAGACATACCAACGCTGACTGCTCACCAACTAAGGCTTAGCTTTTTCACTAGTATGGTATGCTAAGCTCCACTCATTTTTTGGTTAAAAGGAAAAGGAAATATAATGATTAGTATAGGACGACACCCTTCTCTTTTATACAAGATTCTTCCCCCCTTCCAACGCTACTCATTATACATAAAACTCTTTTTCCCTTTCTTTTCTTTTCTTTTTTTCTCTTATTTTTCTTGTTTTTTACATTTACCCCCTTATTTATTTTTAAATTTTTCTACTTCTCCACAAGCAAAAAGAGAGATTTTTCTTGTTTCACATGCTACCTGTTTTTTACACCATAATTAAATTCATGATGTATAAATTTTGAATTTATAAAAAGTCAAATAAGTCGGAATAATATTTTAAATCGTGCAGCAAGAAAATTACACCCTTTGAATAGTACTCACTGTAGAAAAAAAAAATTCAAACTTAAGACTTTATGAAAATAGAAATTAATTAAAACATTAGCATAGCATGAAGAAGAAGAGAATAAAAGTGAAGGAAGATGTAGACAAAGCAAAAAATAGAACAAGAGATATACATAGGATTTGCATATGTCATGATGTTGCTTAATTTATCTCATTGCCTCTAAATTTTGGTGAAATGTCAAAAACATCAAAATTATACTAAAATGACTCACACATTGAGTAGTGATGGTAGTTGGATTAGCCAAGTACAATAATTTCAAGCCCTTTTTATATCAAATCCATATCATATAAGGGAAGATTTTTCTTTTTTTTTTTTTTTTATCATATAAGGAAGATTTTCTTTTTTTTTTTTTTTTTTTTTTTTTTCTTTTTCTCACAAAAAATAAATGGTCCATATAATATAGTGCATAACACAAATGTATGTACAAATACCTCTCATGTTTAACTTTATATATATATATATATAATCATGATGGTCCTCATGGACCACCCTTTTCTTTCTTTTTTTTTTAATTTATTTATTTATTTTTTTTAGTTTATAAAAAAAGAGGTGAGATCATTGGGTTTTCACCTATAAAGTCAAGATTAGAAAATTGAAAATACCTTTCTTTAGGGAAAGAAAGATACGGTCTACTTGAAATTTTTCTTTTTTTTAAAAAAAAAAAAAAAAAAAAAAAAAAAACAAAAAAAAAAAAATACAACAGACTGTTTTTGTTCACAATGGTTGACCTGTTATTATTTTGTTGGGTTAAATTATGCTATCGTTAGAAAATGCTGCCAAAATAAAAAAAAAAAAAAAAAAAAAAATACACTGTTGTTTCACATGGTACCTTATTATTTTGTTGGGTAAATTATGCTAATCTTAGAAATGCTGCCAAAAAGTCTTCTCTCTTTATGTTTTTTTTCACCAAATCCCAACTTGTTTTTGTTTATGTGTCCTTATTTATCATTATGCAATATCTTTGTGGTCCTACATTTCATCACCCTTATTTGCATGGTTCTTTATGTATATTATAAACATGTACTCACAATCATATATACCACATTAATAATGATAATAATAATAATAATAATTATTATTATTATTATCATAAGAATTTCCAATATGATTTATGAAGAAAATGTAAAATGTATTTTCTTGACTGATATATATTGATAGCTATCTCTATAAAGCACAAGTAGAAGAAAATGCTAATACTTTTCAATCATTTCAATAGTTTTATGTTCAAAATTTTTGTCTTACAAGCGTGAGTGACTTATATTATGTCTATGAAGAAAAAAGATGCTTTAGTACATTATGATTTCAAGGAATATTTAACACTATATATAGATTTTCCATCACGGAGCCAGAAAATTTGGTCAGGTAAGCAAAACTAAATTATTTGTAACCGTAAAATTAGTTTCTTCTATGATTATTATAAGAAAACATTCGAAAAATATAAAACATAAGCCTAGTTCTTGCACGATCTTAAAAAGTAAGAAAATTAATCAAATTAAACATAATTCGTACTGCACATTTAGTTAATTAGTTTTGTGGTTTAGAGAGTTTGAATTTGAGATCTCCACTGCTTATAATAATTTAAAGATCAATGACAACACGTCTAGTCGGGTCGTTGGTTACTATTATTCGGCTTAATGACTCAAACATTATAAATATATTTTTTTTTAAATAATTCAAAGACAAAACACGTGTCTTAATCAGTAATTATAATGAAGAACGTACAGTGCCATCGCAAAAGAAAGCACTGTGGGTATATGTGTGTGTGTGATTTGTTTGGAATCATATTACATTTACATTATTAGTAATATCAAATTTTGGTGACACGTAATTATCACAACAATAACAAAACAATAATGATGTTCGAATCAACTTGTCATCGCAATTTTAACAGTGTCTAACACCTCTAATTCCCCTTAATTAAAATTTTTAAATAATGGTACTATACAACATGAAAAATTTTATATAAAATTTATGCGAAAAATTATTTATATTGTTTTATCGGTGTATCTTTCCGCTTTTTCTTTCACATTAACATATAATCCAACGAAAATTGCATGTACGATATGATAATTCGTCCTAGATATAATTATTCCTCTTATTCTTATATTTGACGTGCTCAATTAAATAAACTTTACAAAAAATATTTATATAACTTATTTATTTAATAAGGAGAGTGGGAAGATTAGTGAAAAATGATGAGGTAGGTAAAATTTTGACAAGAAAATAATGAGATTTTGTTTGATTAACCTTGGAATTAGTGAACGTTGACTTGGTAATACAGGAAAAAGGAAAATTGAAAATTCAAGGAGACCGGGTCGGCAAATCCCGCCAAGTACCAACTGTACAAAATATTCCAAAGTCACGTGCCCTTAAAATGTACTACTACTATTGATTGGTGATTCCTGTGATGCGATCTTATTGGTCAATGTCCGTACACATGACGTCCCCTTTCCCTTTCCACTGACGTCATCTCATGGGCTTACGGTTTTAATTTAATTAATATATAAAAATGGGCTACAAAATAGAAGATTTTTTTTTATAATATTTATAACCATTTGATTCTGCTAGAATTTTAATTTGAGACCAAGTAATGAACATCCCTAAATTATAACTAAAATGTTATCCTTGAAGTTTAACTAATAAAGTACTAATTGAAGATAAATTGGGTATTTATAAAATACAATTAAAAATTTTTATACTATATAATAATTATTCCTCGCTAAAAAGGTGAAAAAAAAATACTTATTTCGATTAAAAAAAGTATCTATATCTAATTTTTGTTATTAACTAAGCAATAAAGATAATTTATTAAAGGTGTGTATAATAATTCCAAATTTATCATCAATTTTCCTATCTGTTGTCAAAAATAAATTCAATAATTTTTGTTAAGAAAACACTTATAGTGTCTGAAAACATTGTTGATATAATCTTAATTGTGATTTTAGAAGGCAGAGTTATGTCTTGACTAGGATTATTCAATATAAAGAATTTGCAAAACAAAATGTGAATTTTGTAAAATATTATTTCTTTTTTGATTCATAAAATATTATTTCTTTTAAAAAGAGCTTATTTGGTTTAATTAGCTTCCCCAAATCAAAGGCCTTCATTTTTGCTAAAAGTTGAAGGGTGGGCCATTTTGCCACTCCACTTACTAATTTAAATTTTAAATTGACAATCTTACCCTTATTGTATTGTGAAAATTTAATTATTTTTCCACTGCAATAGAATTAAGACTTGAGATACATAATGATAAATGAGCAAGTATTTTCTAATATAAAAATATTATAGTTCATTCGTTCTATATTACTTATATTAAAATTGAGGATAAATGATTAAAAAGTTAGATTATATCGTTCCAACGCCGAATAAATAATTTTTAAATATGAATTAATTTTTTTAATATATAATTTTTTTCTACTAATAAATAATCAATAGAGATAATATGATATCTTATAAAAATTAACAAAAATACATTTTAATAGTTATATCCCAAAGCTGAATGATGATTCAAAAAAGGCATATCAACCTAAATAATTTGCAATATTAGGGAACATAATAATTATGTCTAATCTGTAAACTTCAATGTTAAGCAGCCTAATTAAGCAATCTCTTCTGCAATTATTGTAAATAAGTATATATCAAGTCTCCACTAATATTAAAATAAATAAATAAATAACCAACAGAAATTTTGTAATTATCTATCCACATGAATGGCACGTGTGGGCATCGGACTCGGGAACCGCTGGGATCTCCTGCGACAACACTCATAGCACAAGGTGGGTAAGATAGATCATCATGCAATTTCTTTTTCTATATCTTTAACCCGTAATTATATATTAATTAATTAACTAATTATAAATATAATATAGTTTCAGTTAAAACTTAGCTTTCACAGACAACGAACGGTATCATGGCTACCATCTTCCCCACTTAATTTTTACTAATTCCTTACTATTTTAATTAAACATTCTTAACCCTTCTTCTAATTGTGGTCCATAATTAGGTAATTAGTACGGACATTTAACTATCGACCAGTAATTAATTAATATTTATAACCATTCCAATCAAATGATAATAAAGTTGAAAATTGAAAATTCAATGTGGGGACATTTAGGGTTTATATTATGATTTGTTGAAAGATGTGGGTTTGAATTTGCTTTTTTTTTTTTTTTTTTTTTTTTTTTAGGGTTTAATTATGATTTGTTGAAAGATGTGGGTTGAATTTGCTTTTTTTTTTTTTTTTTTTTTTTGATCCAATGGTCTTGAATGTGGGCCAATTGTCTAATTAACATAATTTGATAAGTACCTTTTTTTTTTTTTTTTTTTTTTTTTGATCCAATGGTCTTGAATGTGGGCCAATTGTCTAATTAACATAATTTGATTAAGTACCCTTATTTTACTTTTTCTTTTTCCTTTTTAATTTTTTTATTTATTTATCCTCCACTTTCTAAGCAGTCAATCATGCATTCATTTAACTATAATATTTTTGGAGTATAATTATTGTTATTAACTGTATTAATTGGGATTAAAGTATACAGAGTAGTGCAATGTAAGGCTAGTGATTTGTATATTCAATTAATTTTTCTTAATTTTCAACAAGTGGAGTGCCCATTATATTACTATTTTGTTATATATTTACTAAATTTAATTTTACTCGCATCGTGACATGTCCATAAATAAAAACATTTTCAACAGTGATTTTATCAATTCACAAATATCGAATATTTAAACAAGTCAGTTCTATTATTATTATTTTCAAAAGAGATTAGCCAGATTCTCTGTATAAATAAGTAGCGTATAAAATCTTTACCACTAAGATTTAGTGGATTATTATTTCCAAATTTAGTGGATTACTTGAAATAAAAAATTTGCTATTGGATATTGGACAATCATTAAAGTAATACGCATTACGAAATAGTTGCATAAAATTAATCTGCTAGCTATAGCACATGTCCTTTTGTTTTACATTATTACATCTGTTAGGTATAACACCTGTTTAACATTATTCAGTTTGAACTTATAAATTCTATTTATTTTTAGCATTATATTATTATAAAAAAAATGATAATTCTATAAAAAGATCTTAAATTTGTTTTTTACTTAATAAAATATTATATAAAATATTATTTATTAATTTAAATGAGTTCGCCGAATCTGAAATAAATAATTAATCTTCAACTCGTTTTTAAATATTCAAATTCTATATAACCAAGTCATTGAATAGGTAAAAAAAAACCCTTTTCAACGATAATTATTTTTCTGTTAGAATAATTGACCTTATAATTGTAGGTATATGCCTAATTATTAGATTATTGTGTAGTAGAATTTCTTTTTGGTTTTAGGAAACAAAAATAACATCGTCCTTTGGCTTGTCCGAATGGAAACTTCTAATAATCTATTGCTTCAATAAGAAAGAAAGAAGAATAACCATAAGTTACGAGCTATTCGTTCTAAATTCTAAAATATAAATCGTTTTAAAATAAATATTTATCCCAAAACATAAGACATTTTGAGTATTTTAAAAGTAATTTAGTTAAATTATTATTGGTTTTATTATAAGGTGGAAGAATTATTTTATTCCTTCATCCATTACAAAAATTTTAAACGATTTATATTTTGCGAATGAAAGAAGCATTTAGACAGTGTTTAAGCTAGTGTCATGAATATATAAAATATAAAATTGAGTTGTGCCATTAAATATGTCTATAACTACTATTGGGAAATGATGATCATCGCCATCAAGTGAGGAAATAAAGAGAGCATGTGAGTGCAATTTTTTCTTTTTTCAATGAAAAGGGAACAAGAAACGTGAAATTATTGCAGCTAAATTTGGTGGCAATATTGGAGAATCATAAATATGATTGCACTCTAATATAAATAATTATCAAAAGCACGAATAATTTATACATATGTACATATAAAATACACACACAAACACACCTAATTTTGAAATATAATTATCAGGATAAGTAGTTAAGTAGCTAATTATAAGAATAAATTCTGGAGAGAAATGGAACAGAAAGCAGCAAACTGCTTTGGGTCTTGACCATGAAAAGAAAAGCGAGAGGAACTTTTGAGTGTCATCATATCAAAATTAGTTAGCAGCAAGACGAGTAGTTGCTAGTTTCAAACCGATCTGTTTCGTGACTTGGAATTTAAGAACACAGAATAATCATCATTAGGTTAATTAACTTGTATTTTGAGAAGAAATAACTGTGCTTACGTATAGACAGGGAGGGTACATCGTACGTACATGTACACAGTTAGGTAAAACTAATAAATGCAGAGTAAAAGCCGACACATGCATGGTCTTTGAGACAATTATAGACCCACGTACAGCCCATAACTCCACTACATGTACGTAGCAATGAGCATATAGTATTTCCTTCAATCAAGCTCTCTGAATCTGGAAAGAAACAACTTTAACAAGAAAAGAAAAGAGAGAGATACATATAAAAGATAGGTCTGTTTTTGGGTCAGACAGCAATCTCTATTCATCCTGTCACGACACATGTACAAAATAAGCTTCTGTCGATTGGATTTTTTTCATTTTTATTATTAATATTTGACCCACCAAGCAACTGCTCTTTTTGCATTTTTTTTTTCCTGCTTCTCATTGATTGATTTCTTCTCTTAATTGACGGGATAAGAATAAGATGAAGTGTATTATTGTGTATATATGCTATTTTTACTTGAGGAATGTTCAAATATATATGAGATCATATATGTCTTACTTCAAATGCTGTATATATTACTTATATATTGATGTGGTATGACATAACATTCTACTTATTTTCTTGAAATTCCTCGTATGGCAGCGAAGCTAAACTTCCCTACTGCTTTTTCTGGTATATAACAAGTGCACTTCCACACATATGTATATGATGCTTGATTTCGTATATACAACTTACATTTTTATTTTTTAGGATTGCACACGTGTTTTTATACTAGAACCAAAATTAAGAATTGAGAGTATTGTTAGAGTAAAACCATCGTAATAGTAAATAGCTTAAGAGTTTCCAACTCCAAATTATGTGTATAATCCGAAAAATACCATCCCTTTTAACAAAAAAAAAAAAAAAATTAAGAGTTCCAACTCCATAATTATGTGGTAATAATCCGAAAAATAGCCATCCCTTTTAACTATAAAAAAAAAAAAAAAAAATAATAATAAAAAAATAAATAAAAAATAAGAACATTAGTTCAGTTTAGTTTCCAACTCCAAACTAAACATAACTCAAAGTTTCCGCTTGTATTATGAAATTCGCAAGAACGTATACAATCGAATGGCCCTCTTCTAAGTGGGCCGAACACCCACCCTCTCTAGGAGAATTATGTGGGCCGAATTTCCAGCAACCCTTGTCCATTACATAACGGCTTCACCACGTGTCTACTGTTTAATGATCCACGTACAAACATTCAAAACCACAACTTTAACGGTTTTCATTTCCCTCCATTTTCCCTCGTCTCCATGAAAACCCATTGGTTCCTCCTTCCCAAACTACGCGCCGTGGCTCCAGCTATCCTCCACTTCTGTGCACCCTCGGCGCAACTTAGAAATCTTAGACATTCACTCATCTTCTTTGCTTTCTTCTCTTCAATGGCCTCGCAATCGCCCCTAACAGGCCAAACCAACTCTGTCCAACCTGGTCGAATTCGGGTTCTTAAAGAAGGATCAACCAAGCGTGTGGGTCCTGTTGTTTACTGGATGTTTAGAGATCAACGGTTGAGAGACAACTGGGCGTTAATCCACGCCATTGATCAGGCTAACAAGGCCAGTGTGCCTGTGGCGGTTGCTTTTAATTTGTTCGATCAGTTTTTGGGAGCCAAAGCGAGGCAGTTAGGGTTCATGTTAAAGGGTTTGCGTCAACTTCAGGGGAAAATCGAAGAGACCCTTCAAATTCCATTTTTCTTATTCCAAGTAAGTTAATTTCTCCCTTAATAGTTCATACTATGTCTTTCTGGATGATTAGAAAATATTGGGAATTTCCGAAACAACAAATTAAATGTTGAATAGAGAAAAGCTTTATGCACTTTAAATTTGAACTGGGTCCATTTTGAATTTGCTGTGGGTTGTTGTAAGTTATAAGCTTGAGATGATTAGCATTTGTCTTCCTAATTTATTGCATCTAAATTGAGTTGAGATTTTTCTTCTTTTAAGTTAAATCATATTGATGGTATTTGATTAGCAATTCTATTAATTATTTTTATGGAAACTTCGTAGGTTGTGTTTAATTTTTTGGGCTTTAAATATAGGGAGAAGCTGAAGAGACGATTCCAAATTTTTTAAAAGAGTGTGGGGCTTCACTTTTGGTTACTGATTTCTCACCTCTAAGAGAAATCCGTAAATGTAAAGATGAAATTTGTAAAAAAGTGAGTCCTCCAGTGACCATTCACGAAGTTGATGCTCACAATGTAGTGCCTATTTGGATAGCATCAGAAAAGTTGGAGTATAGTGCTAAAACTCTAAGAGGTAAGATAAATAAAAGGCTAACAGATTACCTCATTGATTTTCCTGTTTTACAACCACCTTATAGAAAGTGGGTTGCTGCTGCAAATCAGTTGATTGATTGGGATAGTCTCATTGATGAAGTTACAAGGTCAGACATTAAACTATATGAATAAATCCATTTTGAGTATCATGAGAATTGTAATACTGAGTTTATAGTTTTGCTCCTTATTTAGGAAAGGAGCAGATGTTCCTGAAATCGAATGGTGCATGCCAGGAGAAGAAGGTGCAAGTGAAGTATTAATGGGAAGTAAAGATGGATTCTTGACCACAAGATTGAAGAATTATTCTACAGATAGGAATAACCCATTAAAGCCTAAAGGACTCTCTGGTCTCTCTCCTTATCTTCATTTTGGGCAGATATCTGCACAGAGGTGTGCATTGGAGGCTTGTAAAGTACGGAATCATTCTCCTCAGGTTTGTGGAAGCAATTTTTGAATTCACGGCTTAGCTATTTTATTGTTTGAGTGAAACATGGTTGAACCATAATCAGCTTGCTATTTCAATTTGCCATGTTATATACGGGTTCCAAGACTTGGTTTCATCTCATTTCTTGTAGTCTTTGTTTTGTCTATTCCTTTATGTTCTATCTCTTGCATTTTCTTGACAATTTATGCAATTTAATGTGGCTGAATGTTTCTGCATCTACTTGCTGCTCTGAAGTCAGTTGACGTGTTTTTGGAGGAGTTGATTGTGCGAAGAGAACTTGCTGATAACTTTTGCTTCTACCAGCCTCATTATGATACATTACAGGGGGCATGGGAATGGGCGCGTAATACCTTGCTGAGCCATAAATCTGACAAGCGAGAACATATATACTCGTGAGTTTATATATATATATATATATATATATATAGGAAATTTCATATTTCATATGTCTAGGTGCTTTCACACATAAGCAAAAGCAGCGGTGGAAGGAGGGGGGCTGAGGGTGGCCATGGCCCCCATGCCCTCCAAATATCTTTTTGGTTCCTTTAAAACTATGCCTCTCTTTTTCGCTTCTCCCGGGCATACAAGAAAAACCAGAAATATGAACTATATTTTCTCCCTTCTAACTGTGGCAAAAGTATCTAAAAGAATTTATATCAAGGTTGTTAAAAATAAAATATAAATAAATTAGCCCCTGTAATTTTCTTGATTTCACTTATACTATTATTGCATGAATTTTTCTTTGTTTTGCTGGGTGAGGTTAAGATTTGAATGGCCTCCAAATTTGTAGGATGGAGCAATTGGAGAGGGCACAAACAGCTGATCCGGTATGCCTACTTTCTGATGTAATTTATAAATGACACTGTACTTCAATTTTACCAAATTCAGTTTTTCTGCTTCAATTCCTCCCCGTCCTTTTGATATATTTTGGAATAGTGAATTAATGATTGTGAACTCAAATCATATTTCTACGGATGTTCTCTACTTTTCTATTCTTATTAATATACTAATGATCGTATCACAAATGTCAGCTTTGGAATGCTTCTCAGCTGGAGATGGTTTACCTTGGGAAGATGCATGGTTTTATGCGGCAAGTGCTTTTTGGTTAATTTACTTTGCTTCCCTGTAGGTGTGATTTCTTAGATATTAGTTCTCTATCTGTTTTTTCTATCCTGAAAGGAAGTCACTGAATTGGAGAAAAAGATTTAAATGTTGTTGTGATCAGCGACTTAAAACATAATACTTCAAGTCAATTCTTCGTCTTGTGTGAGCATAATAACATTAAGATGTAAAGACAATAAAGTGTATATACTTACCTCAACAGGCGGAGATCTTAATCCTCCTACATATTCTCTCACTGTACAAAATTAATATAAATTTCTCGCTAAAATGTCATGATCAGAATTAAAACCTGTGCAGTATGTATTGGGCAAAAAAGATTCTTGAGTGGACGAAAGGACCGGAAGAAGCCCTTGCAATATCAATTTATCTAAATGATAAGGTAATGTATCATAATTCCTTTCTGCTTCCATTAATGTTGTTAGCAGTGCTCCACAAGTTTGTTCAACCTACATCTTTTCTTGCAGTATGAAATAGATGGGAGGGATCCAAATGGATATGTTGGTTGCATGTGGTCAATATGTGGTGTTCATGACCAGGTTTCCACTCACTTCTCTCCCGCTTTTACCCCCTACTTGTTTTTGTTGGTGGAATTTAGGATTTCAGTTGACTTGAGTTCCTCCAAGTTTTTGTCCTATAGAGGCCTGTTCTCAAATTTCACCTGTTTTGTTAGTGTAGTTACAAACTATACTTTCTCTTACATAGGCACTAGCATCATTGAAGTCCTCTTGATTGCCATTCAGGGTTGGAAGGAAAGGCAAGTTTTTGGGAAAATACGTTATATGAACTATGCAGGCTGCAAAAGGAAATTTGATGTTGATGGCTACATTGCCTATGTCAAGAAGTTTGTGAGTGAAGTAAAGAAGAAGAGAAAGGCAGAAACTCAGCTTGGGGCCAAATCAAAAGAGCTCCGCATTTAAAATTTCTGTTACACCGTGTAATCTGTGGAAACAAAAATGTCGGCTTCTAAGTTACGTGGGTATGCTGACCCTAACAAAAAGATGATGATTAATCTATTGAAGCATGATTTTGGAAATAGGTCTTGTTCGGAGTTTAGCATCTAAGCGAAGTTTTCTGAAATGCTATTGGCTCTGCCGGCTAGATTTGTTATTCACATATATTATTATTATTATTATTGTTGTCTCTTTAACATGCAAGTAAGACAAGCAGATAGGCTCATAATAGCAGCATGATGGAATCAATAATTTATTTGTCCAATCTATTATAATATATGAACTTACAAATGTGATTTTGGGAATTGCAAAGTAATCTATGTTAAAGTAGAAAACTTAGATTACTTATGGCAGTCAAAAACAGGGCATCATTTTAAAGCAAATAGAACAAAAAAAAAAAAAAAAAGCAAATTATAATATTATGAACTTACAAATGTGATTTGGGAATTGCAAAGTAATCATATTGTTAAAGTAGAAAACTTAGATTAACTTATGGCAGTCAAAAACAAGGGCATCATTTTAAAGCAAATAGAACAAAAAAAAAAAAAAAAAAAAAGCAATTGTACAAAAAAAAAAAAAAAAGCAATTGTTAGAGAAACATTACCACAAAGCGTAAATAACACTGCTTTACATTTTCTTTTTCCCATTTCAAAGCTCAATTGATTTCTATTGGTTAGTAAAATAATATTATACACAGTAAATTCTCATAAAGTTTCATCCAGACTTATCAATTACAATCCGCAAGCCAATTGCAATAAGCCTGGCAATGCAGGGTGCTTCAGCACGTGCAAGACAAAGCCAAGCGACTACAAATATCAAAAAGCAGAAACTTTTACACTGAACACTAAAAACCGAGGGAGACCAAAAAAAAAAAAGGATTCAATGAATGCAAATGCCTATCTACGAACACAAATGGGATTAGGAACCTATTGAAAGCGCCTACTCAGCTTCCTGACCCACATCATTTATATCTGTAGATCGTCTATTGAGAGTTCATGCGCAGTCAGTAGCTTTAGTTTCTGCAGTATAATTAAATAAAAAATATAGTTAGGCCACAGATTTGGCTGGTAATGGAAGAGGAGCACTGGAAACTCTAGAAAGGACTAGTTACCGTAATAAATTGAGGAGGATCATCAAGACTTGTAGAGCCTAGAACTATTTCCCTCTGTAGCTTGTTTGTAAGCTTGTGGCAAACCCTTAGCTGAGGATGGATTATTATGAGAAATTATAGGACCATCCAAGACAAAAAAAAAAAAAAACATTAAAAAATGAACTTGAGACCAGAACTTGTACCTCAGATCTGGTAGCTCCCCCAACAATAAATACAAAAATACGTTTGCCCATCTTCTTGAAATCACTAGATGCATGTCTCAGCACTGAATCGCTGTCAGTCAACAGAAGTAAACATTTCAATTCAGGATGCAAAAACAGCAAAATTAGTTTATGGGAATTTCCAAATCCAAAGATCTTCAACAATGGAATACACTATTATTTGGTAAATAGGGCATTTAAAAGGGTGATGCATAGGATAAATCTGCCTATGTTACAAAAGAAAGAAAAACACCTTGAATACCCATCATCAGAGTTTCGTGGTCGAGCCCATGTTGCTGTCCGTCTTGATCTCATTGAATGAGGAGTTGGAGCTTGAATTGTCGATGCAACATGGGGTGCCCCATGGAAAGTTGCACTTGGGTCATTCATACATGGATATTCATCCTTAGACAGTTCTCCTTTGCTAAGTTTTTCAACAAGCTCCTGAAAAATAAAGAGCATTCTCAGCAAGTTTGAATTCTTTTCATCATAACCTAGGAACAGGTCACAAAATGAATAATTTTGTACAGTAAGATGGATGACCAAAATAAATTACAAGTTCATAATAAAACTTAAAATCAATAAACTATAAGAAGAAAATCTACAAGATAACTTAAAAAAAAAATCCTTTCTCCCAAGCAAAAGAACAAATTATGAACCATTTGATTTTTGCTAGCCATGGCCTCAAGCCATAAAAACATCTGAAGATTCAGAGCAAAATTGTGTTTGATTCAATTGTTGCCAAAACTTGCCAAACAATGAGAGATCAACTTTGGCACACCTTCTCAAAATAGGTAAAAAAGAAAAAAAAAAAAATACTAGGCAAAAACAAATAGGGAAGGTGAGCAGATGGTTCTGTCGACCGAAAACCGAATTGAACCAATCCAATTTTGGTTTGGTTTGTTTGGTTTGGTTTGTTTTGGTTTTGAGTTTTGAGTTTTGTTAAATTTAGGTTCAGGTTGATTTTGGGAACAAAAAAACCAAAAAAAAAAAAAAAAAAAAAAAAAAAAAAAAAAAAAAACCAAAAAAAAAAAAAAAAAAAAAAAAAAAAAAAAAAAAAAAAAAAAAACAAACTAAACCAAGTTATAAATACACTTATTTATATTTATATATAAAAATATATTTAAAATATTTTCATACATTAAGCAATATGTAAATATATTTTTTCAAAGTTTCAGTTAATTCAGTTTGCTTTTTCGGTTATTCCTAGCATTTCGATTTGGTTTTCCTTTTTAAGAAGTTCCTCTTAATCTGGTTTTGCTAAAAATTCAAACCAAACTAACCGAACCGGCTGAATACTCGCACCTAAAAAGTAAATGATTGCTATTATAAGTGCTCCAATCATGAGACTCTTTATGCTAATAGAAAACAAAGGGGAATGCGAAAGCATGCATGAAATACTACATAGAAAATGATTCCAACTTCAACTGTACCTCTATCATTGGATAAAACCTTGATAATTGCCATTGTGTTTCCTCCTGACCAACACGGTCCTTTCTAGCAGAGCGCTTCTTCTGTGGTGGGACAGAAAGAGAAGAGGCAAGATTAGGCTTAGATTACTGAACAGAAAGCAGCAGCATTTCAGCAACATGTATTCTTACTTTATGAATGTCAAACTTCAAAGAGAAAGTTCCAGTTGAACTCTTTTTGGAATCTGTAGACGCCCCAAGAAACCTCATATTATTCACAGCATTCATATCATCTTCAGGTAATTTTGCTAACTGAAAAGACATTCAAATAATAGGGATCAATAGGCATACAAAGATATTTCAGTAGCATCAAGTCAGGAAAGGTGTGATTCAACTACACACCCGACTTCGCAAATGGAACAATGAGAACTGTAAATAGAGTAAGAAAAAGAGCCAAGAGACAAACCTTCATTAGATTGAGACCCTTTTCGCCATCAAATTTATCAGGATAAACTGCCGCAAGAATCATCAACAAACGCAACTTATTTTCACGAGATGCATCCTGCGTGAGAGGAAGTTAAACGATATAAGTACATTTGACAAGTTGTAGTACTTCCGTACAATTTACTAGAAATCCTCACCTCTTTAGTAGTCAAAAATTTAATTACATCCTTCATTCCTGCATCTCCAAAAACCAGGTCCTGTTCCAGTTGCCCTATCTCTCGAAGGCCTGATTCTCTGATAATTCTGTTAATTTTTCCTGCAATCTGCATCCGTAAAATTTAATTTGCATGAAGCCTTGGCCATGTGAAAACTTCTTGCAACCAGTAGATGTTCTTTTCCTTCTAATATTCTTGGTCTCATCATATGCATTTAGAAGAAAAATGGAGTATTTTTGTTTACAACATTTTAGCTACCTTGCTACATGCTATAATTCTGTGGCAAGCCACCACTAAGCAATTAACATTTAGTAACAGTAGCCGAACTGCATTATTTGGACTTGGTACAAGTACTTAATTCATGTTTTGGTCCAGGGGTTGGGTTGCCTGTTTTCCAAAAATCCCTAGGTTATCCCAGCGGTGGATCCAGAAAATTTTGTTTCCATGGCGAAATAGGTAACTCATTAATGAAAGAAATAATTAAGAGCATATGAAATTTCCAAATGAATTGAAAATTAAATACGTTGGGTTTGAGTTCACTAATATTTTGAATTTACTAACTATTTTAAAGAACAAAATGAAATTAGAATTACAAAGAGATAGAAAATGAAACAAAATGAAATTCGAAATAGAAAAATATACATACCTTAAATTACCCAAATGTATCTCATATAGTATAAAATTAAAAAGAGTGTGAAAGAGAGAAAGAGACGAGAGAGTTTTTTTTTCTATAGAAAAAAAAGCTAAACTAAAGTGGATAAATTTAAGTTTGATGATGACTTTTCAGTGTGCCATTATACAACAAAATCTTTTTAATTTATTTTTTATTCTTAACTTTGCCAGGTGCTAGTATTTTATTAGAACACAGAATTTTGTCAAAAAAAGGGTCACTTGACCCCTCGTTTTACTATGTAGATCCACCACTGTTTTCCCACTAATTGGAAATATTGAACCGTCCAACCCTGTCCAAGAATCCTTGTCAAAGACAATTAAATTTAAGTAAGCTGAAGAGTCAAAGCAACTATGCACCCAACCTAGAGGTTGATAACTAAGAAGCAAAGAACAAGTGGAGGAGAAAACTCAGCCAACCAATCCGCAGCAATATTTTCCTCGTAAGCCAAATTAAAATATCAAATCAGTTGAAAGTCCACCTCTATAATTTGTTTCCATAATTCCCTCCCAGGCTCACTGAAATCTTTTGCAACAGACCATAATTCCACTGCACATAGGTAGATACCCTACTATTAATAGCATATGCTGATCTACATTGACCACATTCAATATCTTCTACCAGTTGATCTTCATGCCCAAAAGCATCCACACCTCTTAATCATAGGGGAAATGCTTCATGTTATAGCCATAGCATCTATTAACTTTATGTTTTGTTTGGATATAAATTTGATTTGAGATCTAGAATTCCAAAGTTTCTAGTATATTTGAAATGACATGTTTAAAAGTAATTTTCAGTCCATTATATTTATGCCTTTCAAACTTAGGCTCCGTTTGTTTCCGTAAAACAACTTGCAGGAAAATATTTTTCAGAATTTTCCGTTGTATGGAGCGTTCAGGAAAATAAATCAATGGAAAATATTTTCCTGGTCAAAGGAAAATTAAATTATTTTTTAAGGAAAATAATTTCTCATTTCGAGAGAGAGAGAAACATTTTCCGGACATTGACAAACCTTATAAATCCATATTTTTTTAAATTTATTAATCATCGTAGTCACTGCTACCATTCACCATTTGCCACCGACCACCACCACCCACCGGCGGCCACCACCATTTACCAATCATGGTGGCATATTGTTTTGTCAAAGGTTAGGCTCTTAACAAAGCCAAATGGGGAAGAAATTTAGAATAAGCAACGAATACAGTTGGAATACAATGTAACAAATTTGTCAATTAACTTAAGGAAAGCAATTGCTGGTTATGTGAACCAACGCCCAAGATGCATTTCATTGAGTTTCAAAAACCAAGAAAAGAATGTTACTTCTGCACCATGTTGGACAAATAAAAGAAAATATCTGGAAAAATATCTCCAAAGATGATAGACGAGGTTGTTATATAAGAAAACTATTCAGCGAAGAAGAATAATAATACTCTGCGGTCAAAACCAAAAAACCAACCTCTACATGCAGGGAAAGCTTGTCAATTTGTTCACTGTATTGTGGCAAAGCTTGAACCATCTTTTGTAAGTCCCGGGTGGAAAGTTCACCATCTCTACACAACATGTGAGACTTCAAAATAAGAAATATATCATGACAGCAACTAATCATTGAAATCGTAGTTAAAAGTCCAGAAGCTAACAAATAAAAGAAAGCATGGGGTATGCAAGCATCTCTTCTTCAACAATGCAAACAAGTATAAATTGTTGATATGAAGACAACTATATATGCCAGTCCTACATGAACCAAGGACACAGGGATGGAAAACAAAGGCAGAAATGTGCCAAGAAAAACTAACTGCAAACTGCAGAACTCATTCATCTCATGGTTGTAAGTACAACCAATGTTTAACATTTTTTCGCCCAGCCATTATTTTGCACTGAAAACAATATAGTTCTTTTGAGAATCGCAGGTAAAATGGACCGTTATCACCATTTTATACCCCATTATGGACCATTATTTTTTTCTTGTTATGGACCTCAACCATTGAACCATTTACATCCTCTCTTTTGCAAGCTAATTTTTCCAAAATGTCCATGGCATCACCAGCCACAATTGTTAAATCTTCTGTAATTATGACAGGTAATGTAATTAGAACCTTATGTCATTCTGTCCTCCATGCTTGAGGTCCACTAGCTCCTCCACAGACTTTCTTTCAACTCTCAGCCTGCAGAACCATTTGTCTAAAGATGCCCCTCCACAAACCCAACGAACATAAACCCCAAATAAGAAATTGGGAGAAGGACCAACTTACAACCTAATTCCTGCTGGCTCATTAATTGACACATATACCAGCAATGGTACTAATTCACAAATATAAAATTTTCACTCAACTCTGAACTGCCCAAAAATTAAAACAGGATGCAACACAACAACTGCATTTTCTCCACAATGTCATTGGTGAACTGGATAGCATATCATCTCCTAATGGCCCCAGAATCAGCATTCCAAAAACACATTACCCATACCTAAAGCTAAAATCACCTTTGATAAACCTCATAACCATCCTCCTAAGGATCTCCATTGCCAGAATAAATAAGATACAGGTATCAGGTTACCTATCATCAAACCTCTTGAATTAACAAAATTACAAGACTCCACAACAAGAACTAAAAATAATGAGGATCGATGTTTTCTAAATTTTCTTTTCATTCATATAGGCAATGAACACTGATCTATTTGATTAGCCTGAAGAACCAATATAAAGATTGTTGGCTGTGATAATTCAGCTTATACAACAGAAAACCTAAAAAATAACCATGAGGATGGTTAAGACGAGATTGTTACCCAAAAAAGCAAAGAGAATGAAGAGGAAGCTGAGGGAGAACACATGCTGTGCCTGGTTTTAAAAGATACAGCGAAGAAAAGCAATGTTGAAAAAGAATACCCAGAAATATTGAGAAAAAGCTGCACCAGATTTTCAGAGAAGCAAACTTTCTCATTTATATGACTCAAGTCACTCAACACAGGCTCATATCAATTGAACTTTTCATCTTATTTTAAATTTGCAAGACAGAATATACCAGGCAACTCAAAAATCATCAGAGAGAATTCTCTTGCCTAATGCTATACACCCTTGGACAAAGTGATCAATTTTCATTAACAACAATTATAAACAAACCTTGAACCATGTTGGATTTGTGCAGCTTTATTCTTTGATATGAAGTTGGTCATCTTCTCATGCAACCGTTCACTAGCCTGACAAGGCAACCAAGGATCACTGAGTATTAACATCATGGATGCACGAAAGAAATATAGGCACCATACTTACATCTGCTATATGTGCATGTCGAAGCTCAAGCCAGACAGGATCATGTTCCTCTAAAAGAACCTCTTTCTTCTCAGGAGGACCACCTGATTTACTAGGAACCTGAACAGTAGGATTCATGATCAAAAGAGATCCAATGGGAAATGGGCAAAAGCATGCATATGTGGATAATACTTTATTAACTCACCTCATGTACATATTTATTTCCCTCCATATTCAGTAAATCACGGCATATGGCATCATACGTCCACTCATGTATAATGGGAGCAATCTAGAAATGCAAAGCAAACACATTAACCAAGCCATGCAACAAGAGTATAGTGAGTCAATAGGCAACATGTGTTTACCTGATCTACAGATCTATCTAGGATGAGCAGCTCACATGTTTCTGTCTGTGGAAAATGTTCAATCTTTTGTTTATAATGTGTTAGGCGATCCCAAACTCTTGCAGCAAGTTTTGTGGGGATCAAGTCACGAAAAGTGGTCATTGTAGTCACATCCAGTGACTTGGCAGCACGATAGCGCACATAAGGAAATTCCTGAAAATTAGATATGTGCATGCCTCAGAATATTATCAGAACAATGTGAATCACAACTCAATGGCCATTATTATATATATACTAAAATCGCTGCCAAAATCACTGTTCATGGGAACAGTGATTTTGGCTCAATTGACATTCTTCCCCTAACATTAGCAAATAACAGCAAAGCGGAAGTTAAGCTGAAGTGTTTTCTTTATTTTTGATGAGCTCAAACAGGCCTTAATTTATATGTATAAACTTAAAAAAGGATCCTCTGTTAAAATTAAATGGAAACTGTTTGTTATAAAATTTCTATCAACAATTTTTTCCATTATCCATTAGTCATAAGGACAATTTCTAACAGGCCTCAAAGAAGGGGAGCGCTGCTAAGAACACATCTTAAAATGATGCTGGACAAGATCAGGCGGTGGAAAAATAAGAGCAAAGATTCTAAGAGGCATAATATGACCAAAAGTAGCTAGGCAATCAGCAGATGTTATCATATTTTTTAAAATAATATTATATGTATTTGCAAAATGAAGTTTATATTAATAAAATAGACTTTAAGCAAAAATAATAATCTTATATGAATAAAATAAATTAAAAAATATGATAACAAGTCCACAACAAAGTTTGGGGACAATTTAACTTTTATATACCTTTAGAGAAGCAAAAACTGTAGCAATGCGAGTAGCCATCACATTCAAACATGCATCACCACTCCGAGAATCCTCCTCATCCCCAAAAAGTTCCTCTAAAGCCCTTTCATGGTCAGTGACAAAACCCTGTATTAAGAATGTCAAATTTGAACCAAACAAAAATAAAGATCATAAAATGCTGGGATGATGATGAGAAGATGAAATAAGATCAAGAAAACATCATTGCCAATAGAATATTAAAAACAACAAAATGTCTAAGAAAATAAATAGTGTATGTTATAGCAATACATAAATTTCTGAAAACTAAAAAAGAAAAAGAAAAAAAAAAAAAACCTTTGTCTGGACAGGAAGGCCTGTGCAAGTCTAGCTGAACTAGAAATACCAAAGAGTTTAAACAAGCACAGCCATGCAATTTGAAACTTAGTTCACATTAAGTAGTATTCAGTAATTCTGTAGACATTTTGTTCTCTTGAAACCATGATAACCAAGTTTTGCTCTACAGAATTTCCTAATATTTTAACTTTTATTCTCTTCCTCACTGATTTGAATTCTCAAACAATATCCACAACATTCAGCCACAGCAAAATAATAGTAATTTATCTTTTCGACCCCAATTCTGACCATTACGCTTACTCAAGCCTAACATACAGATCATTTGCTGTTTAAGTGGTTAAAATCAGGTGAGAGTTAAATTACATCATCACTCACCCCCTGTTCCTTTGATAAGCTATATGCAGTTATTCCCATGTTTCTCAAAGTGAAAGAAGAGCTTATGCTAAGTTATGAATATCAGAAACTGGGTGGTTCTAGAGATGTAGTTGGAATTATATAGGACTATAGAGAAAGCAACAAATTTATCAAAAGTGCCAAAAACAAAAGAGATGCGCCCTAGTGTACAAGAGAGCACTAGAGGAAGAAAACAGAAAGAAAAGGAAACAACAAAAGTGAATTTCTAAGCTCTAACAATACTAGCAAACCACAGATAGCATCTAACTTCTAAATATGCAATACACTATTACAATGTCAAGAAATAAAACTATTAACACTTTTGAACAAAAGTTTAACATCAAATTTTCAAAAACCAATTTGATTGAAGTTCTACTGTTGATAGAGTAACAATAACACAAGGTAGAAACATCATTGATCATTTGAGGCATCCTAAATATTGCTTTAGAAACTCAACCATGAGTAAAACACTGTTTTCCCAGCAATAATAATTAACAACAAAGCTTCAATCAATTGACAACAGAACTTCATCCATAAAGCACTAATGGAACGGCTCGTTGCCCATATTACGACACAATATTCAACAAATAGATTGATGTGGTGTCATATACCTGGCTGTCTATAGTAAAGTACTCCAAATTCATCTGCAATCCTCACACAGATCAGAAAAATTCACTATCCATCAGTATATCAAATAGCTAAAAATAAGTTGTTTCAGCATATTCATCAATCAAAAAAAGAATAACAGCTTTCCAAGGAAATGAGAACTTTACCTCTCTCAATGCTCCTATGCGAGACAATACACTTGTATCTTTCTTGATATAAGTAACCAATTCTCTTGAAATGGGTGAGCTGAAGAAAACATATGCCCTTCACCGATAAAAGAGAGCAAACAAAAGAAAGGGTGACAAAACATTAGAAAGTTAGGACTCCAGAATCCAAGCACAAATGCAAAATAATAAATAAAAATCTTAGACATACTTCTTATATAAAGGAGCCTTCCCTGACATATCCGACAAGAACATCACAACACTGAAAAATAGACACATTAAGAAAATCAGATAAATAACATAGATAGATGAAGGGAGACAGAGAGAGTCTAAAATCATCTATGGAGAAAAAACAAGAAAGAAAGCCAGAGTACACCAGTTCATCTGACAAATAAAACAGAAATACAGCACACCAATCCCTAAAAGCTAACCTAAACCAACATGGTAGATTTTTAAGTTGCAAGTTAATTTTAACCCTAGAGGAAATTGCAAACATAAGGTTTCTGGTCATAAAATTGCACAAGAACTACATGGTACAACAATGAAACAAATTAGATTGACAAAAAGGAATCATGAAAGAATTAGATCCAGATCATGTAAGCCCATGAACCATCACGTTCATTTGTAATCTTACCATGCAAACTCAGTGAACTTGTGAGAGAGAAATGATGGAATATTAATGTACTTTTTAATCCTAAAATTGTATTTAAATATTTCATTCAACTGCCTCAAGACAGCCATTGGAGATCCAATCTTTGTAAAATAACCCTATATCACAATCTCAACTACTTAGGCTATAGGCTCTATTACCTACTAATGACTTAATATAAAACTAAGAACATTTGGGCTAACTTCCACCATTTTCTTCTTCCTTTCTCTTTTTTCTTTAGGGCAACAAAGAGGGCTCAAGCATGATCTATTTTTCAATTTTAGAATCAAACTTCCAATAATAACTTATCCATCAAAGTAAGTGCCTCAATAATTACAATAAGGATGTGTTTGGGTGCACAAGAGAATCAATATTGACAGCCAGCAAAAGGAAAATATATTACTTCTCTTTCGTTGGTTGGATGAAGTATATAGCATCCATGGAGGGCAATGGCTGCCTTCGTCTGTATATATCTTCCACCACTACAAGGAAAAAATTTTTTTCAAAAAAAAGGGAAATAAATAAGAAAATCCAGTAACTATTGAGGAACTAGAACAAGAAACTGAACTTAACATCTTATTTAACATAGCTTCATATTGTCTCACCTAACCCATGTAATTTATATGCAAGAGAAAAGCAAGAGCACTTACATGTAAATAAAGATGAAAAATAAACAAATCACACAGCAAGGGGTTTTCTTTTTTAATTAAATTATCTGCGCCTCAAAAAATTCCTTATACTATTCAAAATACTTGCATTTACTTAGTAGTTATTATTATAGTATCATCAAATGTTAATTCAACTCAATTCAATAAAGCCAAATTTGGGTACAGTTATAGTCTGCCTCCTCTGAAGATGAAGATTAATTTATACGTGAAAAATTCAGTATAGTTCTTCTGTAGACAATTTTTTATAAACCCAATTAAGAATAAACAAAAGCTAAAGTTTTTCTTTGCAGTTTGATACATTTTGAACAAGGAAAAACACAAACAGTAGGAATTCAAACAAGACTTTACTCCAAAAACTGCACTAGAATAAAATTTTTCCCCTATTCTTATGCTCTAAAGCATGTTTCAAAAATATTCTGTAACAACACCGCAAAAGCAGCCCTAAACTTTCACAGTTCACCATTCTAATTCTTACATGAAACCCCTTCCTGTGTGATATCAGCCATCTTGCACGCATAAGACATGATCTTCACAGTAAGTTTGTCCATGATAAGTACCTAAACATAAGACATTCAAGAATTGACATAATTTAGCAATATCATGCAAAGATACAATGGACAAAAGCATGCAATATGACACATCGCCACCATAACATAGAAGAATGAAAAGAAAAGGTTAAATTAAATAAGAATATAATCCTATGGATATGCAGTCATAAAGCAACTACATCAGTTGACTACCATGCCAGAAGGCCCCTCCATTCAGAAAAAAAAAAAAAAAAAAACATAAAGGCAGAAAGGCCCTCATGTCAGAAAAAAAAAAAAAAAAAGAACTAACGTATAGAAATGTTATTCACTAATTTCCCTTTCTCAAAAGCCACATATACCAACAGATTAGCCCATATCGAAAAAACCCAGCAGTATCTATCCTGATCAAGCTTTTCGATATAAACATCTACTCATAACCAGTCAAAAAAAAAAAAAAAAAAGAACCTAACGTAAGAATTTCATCACTAATTTCTTTCTCAAAAGCCACATACCAAAGAATTACCATAGAAAAACCCAGCATATCTAATCCTGATCCAAGCTTTCGTATAAACATCTAACTCATAACCAGTCTAACTCCTCAATCTACCTCATTTTATTCACGCAGTTTATATATATTCAGCAACAACTCTACATACAAACAATTAGACAGAATACAAAGATAACAGAACTCATAAATGAATAAGTGCATGCAGAATGTTTTCTCATTTTATCTCTTTGAGAGAAATGAGAGCATATTTCATATGCTCAAAACATGATTGTAAGGCTAAAGGAAATTTCAAGGAGAGAAAAGGGTCTAACTAAATTAGACATGATCAATTATTTAAATTTTTGCATGATGAATAAAAAAACAAAATGCAAAGACCTGCACTTCAAATTTTTTAAAGTAGAAAGTGCAAACTGATTCTGCCTAAGCAATCTGTAAGACCCTAAAAAAAACACTTCTATGGGACATCTCGTCCACGTTGAACAACCTGTTGGATATAATCACGCCCAACAGATCCAAAATTTGTGTAATATCGAATAGATCTAGTCAACATGTCATAAAATGCAAGCAAGGCAGATAACACTCAAATCCTAAGTATCGATATCGTTTGATGTTTTGAAAGAAAAATATTCCCAGAACTCCATGAAAAACTAAGTCATTTAATTCGTGCAAGAGTATCTAATTAACATATGCCTGATGCTTCACATCAAAGTCCAAGAAACACCACATAACTTCTAGAATTTTTCCTTTGGAAGAACACAAGACTCTAAATTTTTCAAGATATGCAGGACCAGCAAACAATAAACAAGTGATAAGAATCTACAAGTTATTTTACCTTCCAGGTTGACTTTGAGTCCCCTGATTTTGCAGATCGAAGCATTTCATGTAACAAACCTGAACAGTCAACAAATTCAAATAAAAAATAATCAGGCCAACTAACACATATAACAAGCAATTGACTATGCCTTTCTAACAGAATATCAAACAGAAAACACAGACAATAACATCAAACTTGAAATGGTCTAATTTAAGTGGCTTTCCCATAGTGTTTTTAGGAAAATCCATTAGTGACATAAAGGACTTAAACATTATAACAATGCTGCATTTTTTTTCAAGTGTGTTAAAGAAAACATTTCATAACAAAAAGGACAGACTCATAGGACCTGCCATCATAGCATAAATATTCAGTAATTGATTCCATGGTTCTATAATCTAAGTTTTGAAACTTGAAATGCTTGGAATTACCATCTGAATGCAGCAATTTCAGCCTTATGCATCAATCACGGCATTCTTTTTCTTAATCTATAGTGAGCACATAAAAACTGACCTTCTACTAGATTTAAGATGCCCAGGCCCAACTATCTCAGCGTCTCATTTTTCTACTTCCTGAATCCAAGAATTCAAATAGCAATACAAGTATTTCATCTAATGAAAACCACGGGACCTCCTTGTGCTTATCCTAATTCTTTGAGTGTCTAGTAGACTAGCAATAGACAAATTCCATAATCATTTAGCTAAAGGCATGTATAATATAGCCGTGAAGGCCATAGTCGCTCAAAAGTTAAATATATATGTGTGTGTGTGTGTAAGCCTAGAAAATTTTTGCACATTTCAAGTATCCAGTGGAGTGCAATTACAAGACAGGAGTGAGGTCAATCAATTGCATATCAACTAAAATCCAATCCAAGCGATTTTCGCATTTAGCTACTCTAAACTTACATTAGACTTGAAGAAGCAGCAAATAATATCATCACCACACCAAAATCAGCTACAGTATACAAATGCTTATAAATCACAAGTTAGACACTAAAATTTCAACAAAGCAAATTGAATTACACAGTACTTTAACAGAACATCGCAGAGAAGAACTCAAACATTATGAAAACAGAACCGATCAAATTATCTCATATCAAATTGCTTATACTTTAAATTGAATTGAACAAGGAAAATAATATGCATTTGTATTCATATATCAGAAAGAAAAGAAAACTCACGTTCACGACTGATTTGTCTAAAATTCTTGTACTCGCCACCATAAGATGACGAGTCAGAATCTGAGAACGACATGTCTATTGATCCAAAAATACAAGAAATTGCAGGTAGATGCTGCTCTAGAAATGGAAGTAGAGGGACGGGTTAGAGGATCGAAGGAGAAAGCAAGATCAATCAAAAAGGTAAGAAATAGGGCGTGAGATAAAAGAAAATTTTAATTTCTTTAATTTTATTACGAGTTAATTATTGACTTATATATTTATGGAAAAACGGCTCTCGTGGGGGTGACGTGTTGACCATAACAGAAGCCTGATTGAACCGGCCAATTGTTATTTCGCGTTTCGTCTTTGAATCGGTATGAAGTTTCAATACTTGTTTTCTTCTTTTTGGACTAACAATATTACCCGGTTTTTATCATATTAAATCGGATTAATCTGTTACTTAGATTAAGAAAGTTGTTCTAAATGACTATTAATTTAACTCATAGTAATGTTAATTTAATTTAATTAATTTGAACACATGACTATTTATTTAATAACTTATTAAATAATTATTCATTTTGATCCCTAAACTTATTTTTAGATCAATTTAGCACCAAAAACTTTGATATTAAAATCAATTTCGTCCAATTCTTATAAGGAAGTTGTAAAACATTAAGTTCTATATTTTTAAATAATAAAAATTATAAAACGTCAAAAATGAAAACCAAATTTGAATATAGCTCAATTTGTCCATGAATTTTGGAAGAAATATTCAATTCTCTCAAAAAATAATTTTTTTTTATACTACTATCACCCAAATTTTTATATAATTATCATTCAAATTTTACATCATGTGAACAAAAAGATCAATTTTAAAAAAATAGAAGTAATATTTTTAATTGATAGAAAATTTTAAAGTATAAAATTAGGAAAAAAATGTGTAAAAATATAAAAAATAATTATGGAAAAATTACAAAAGTGTATGTGTCTCATCTCTTTGATTTTAAAAATAATTAAATAAAATATAATGTCTATAATTTTTTATTAATTTTCTGATTAAATCAAATATTTATTTTCTGTCTGAATTCGGCTTTTTTAGTTGTCTGATACAAAGTTAAAAGTAATAATTATATAAAAAAAATTGATTTTTGAGAAAATTATATAGCAAGTTTTATTCCAACAAAATAAAAGCAGAGGAACACGTGTCCTCTCCGTCATCCTCTTCCCCCCTTCCCCTACTTCCACCCACCACACCTGCAAGTTATTAAAACCCAACACTTGCATATTAAACAAAAACCACGAAAATGATAAACAAGAAGAAACGAAAATGTTTTTTGGTTTTTCTCCTTTTTAATTTTAAATAATTTTTATTATTTTATAATAAGAATATGTTTAAATTATGGTGCTAAATCGGGTTTATTTTACATTCTGGATAAGTTATAGTGCCAAATTTGATTAATATGGTAGATTGATTAAATTAAGAAAAAAAATCAAAACAAAAACATTTGGAAACTGATTTATTAAAACTAAAATATAAATCCAGTTAATTATTAAAATAAAATAATATGAAAAAAATATAGTGTTAAGATAAATAAATTACAAGAAGATTCGAAAGATGGTGAGCTTCCAAGAAGGAAGGTCTGCGGACAGTTATCCTTGTTTAGATAAAGTCTTCAATGATAAGCCAATTTTTCTTGGAAGAAAAGTCTGTCCTGGCTTTGGGTCTTTTTGTTGAAAGGAAGCTTCTTTCTGTTGTCTTGATGTCAAATTTACTACTTCGTGGGAAAATTTTGTTTTTTACTATCCTTCAAGTTGCCAAAGCATTTGATTTCCTCTGGGTGCTCATTTGCTTTGTTCTTCGCCTACTAAATTGTTATCTTTGCTTTCATGATTGTGCAAAAATTACTTAAGCTTAAGTTTAAGCAGTTTTGGTACTTTTCTTTGAGTTTTGCTCCTCATTTATTTTTCAAAAAAAAAAAAAAAAAGGATTAAGGGGTAATTAAATAAAATTTGAGTTTACTTTCAATTTAATTTTGTTTTAGATGAAGATGTATTTGAAAATTGCATAACATTTTTGCCTTGTTGTAGCTCCTACCAAGCTGTGTCCTTGTATAAATCGCCGTTTGTTAGGCTACCAACATATATATTAGTTCATCGAAATATAAATATTACGTAGGAATTTTTTTTTTTTTAAAGAATTCTACAGTTATTGCAGCCGAACAATGTGACTATTGTTCACAATTTAAGAAATATTGAGAAGTCGACATTTCTAAGGAAAATTATTCAAATAATGTAATTTTTTTCCAGCAATTAAATTAAATGGAGTTATTATGACGTCTGCAAAGTGAAAGATTCCACTATTTAGTCGTTAACACAGGAAGGTTGAAAATTTTTAACATGCCATGAAAAACATATTTATTATATTTTCAGGAAAACACTGCCTAAACCAGATTTATAGGTCAATCCATTAATTTTGGAGGCGATAGCGTTGAAAGAGGCAATCGCAAAAGTTTCTAACTGCCCACCTTTCTCCATTTTTATTATGTTTAATAGTTAAACAAGGCAATTGTTTGGACCAAATCATTATACGTTAAACTTGAGAGAAATGACCATCAACTATCTCTCCTACACTTGCAACCAAATCACAGACAGAAAACAAAAGGCCTGCCAACCATTTCACTCAATCATTTAATCAAAAACAACATTTGTCCAGAACATAAACTTCCAAATCTGTCTTTCCCATGGTTCAGGAAGGTACATTGTAGTAAGCAGAAATAACATGCCTCAATTGCAACCTCTTTTTCCTACACACTTTTCAGCCGACCATTCATCCATCTATTACATATCTTAAAAAGGGATGAAGGGATTGACAGGTAGCAAAGCAATAATCATCATTTTAGTGAAATATTCTAAATTGATAGGATAAAGACTGGAATCTAAATCTTTTGAAAATAAAGTACAGTTGCAGAGTAAATTTAGAAAAAAAAAAAAAAAAAAATAATCATTATTTTAAGTGAAAATATTCTAATTGATAGGATAGACTGGAATTAAATCTTTTGAAAAATAAAGTGACAGTTGCAGAGTAAATTTAGAAAAAAAAAAAAAAAAAGTGAAGGGTTTAAATTTAAAAAAAAAAAAAAAAAAAGGAAGGGTTTCAAATAATTGCTATTTGACATGGAATTGTTCTATGAAGACAATTCCCAGAAATAAAAAGAAAAGCAGAGGATCATATGGAACTCTAATTGAATAATAATGGATAATCACCAGAAAACCAAGTTCTTGCAAAAACAAGTTAGAAGAATCCATGTTTGATTTATGAGGAATGAGCTGGACCTTAGAACTATGAGTTGGCATAGAAAAGGGCTTTCATAACTAGGGATAAAACTCAAGTAGAAAATCCAAAAAAAAAATGTCACAGGACAAGCATCTTATCTACATGGGTCTTTTTTTTTTAATTGATATTTTTTTTTTTTTGTTATAAATTCCATCCAGAGAGTTAGGAAAATAGGACCCATAAGAAAATTCAATTCCCAAGAATCAGCATTGAGAGCGAAGATGATGATAAAAAATTGACCAAACAAAGAATAAAACAAAGTAATCACAAAATGCCAATTTGTTACTTTGACCCAAAAATCCCCAATTCAAAAACCCCGATGAGACATATCTTATGCTCACTTAATTGACAATTCCATGTAACATTAACAACAAAAGTGTTACAAAGTAAACTAAAAAGACAAGACCCTAAAGAAAGAGAGGGTCAAACCCTTTTCAATTTTCATCACTAACATTGTTATTGTTATTATTATTAGTATTATTATTGCTATAGTACCTGCAAAGAACCTTGCTCTTGACCACATTGCCATAGACATAGAACCCAGGTGCAACCATGATCCGAACCATGGTAGGGACCAACTTCTTAGCTCTGTCTCCACCCATATCTTCCATGTAAACAGAATCAAACCTTACCCACTTATCCACTCTAAATATTGGCAAACCAGGATGCACTGAATTAGCCAAAAGGTGCACCAACCATACACTTTTAGAAGCACCAAAAAATGCCTGCAATAATGGCTCAGGCCAGGCTCTATTCCAACTTAACATGCCAACAATCTCATTCATTTTTCTATCACAAAACTTGCTAAATTCTTCACTAAAATGCCTGGTCCCCTTATTTAACACCTCTTCCCATGTCAACTCTTTTAGGACAATAAAAGATGCATAATTTGCTTCACATCTATCAATGGGGTTCAATATTTGATTAATAGAACTTTTTTGAAACCCAACAGATTCAAAATCTTCAAAGAAAGCTTTATTCAATAAAGCCTCAAGATAAAAAAGAACACTTTTGGGATTCTTGGAGAATGAAATCTTTATATCATAAGCTTGAAGAAGAAGAGAGATTCTTTCAAAAACTCTAACTCCCATGTGTCTTAGTTGCGTAGTAAGTGACCTGCTTAAAAGCCTAACTGAAGCCCTAGCTTCAGAGACTGAAACCAAGAATTGCTCAATTACCTTGTCACCAACACCCATAATACTACTTTGTTGTTGCTGATGCATATGAATATTGAAACCTTTTGCAGCCCGATACGGTGAGTTATTGCTGCTACACTCATCAAGGCCAGATTTCAAATTATGGCAATAAACTTCCAGCTTATTAAGCTTTTTTTCAAGTTCAGACATCGAATATTTTAGCTTCGAAGCTTCAAGAATTGCTTCGTCTTTCCTTCTTGTTGCTTGAATAAGCTTATGGGAAAGCTCAGCTACTGCAATTTTCAATTGTTCTTCTCTTGCCGATGATACATCTAAGGATTTTGGACTCTTTCTTGTTAATGAAGAGAAAATAGACTTAAAGAGTCCATTAGGACTCGCAATAAAAGATGATGAGTGCTTGTTTAAGCCATTGTTGTCTAAAGGAACAACAGATATCTTCTCTCTTGAGTGTGGACGGCACTTGTTGCAAGAAACAGAACCATCTAATTCTTCTCCACAATTTTCACTTGATGCATGTCCTTTCTTGATATTGGGCTTGCCGTTTTTGACATGAAGAGGTGTTGGCTGGTGCTTTACAGCCTTTCTCTTATCAATTGACGCCGGTGTTGCACTATATACATCTTCTTGTTCTTCTCTTTCACATTCTTGAATCTGCCAAAAAGAAACAAAGAATACAACTTAGCAGGGAAAGACAAACACTAAACCTTTCTTTTTTGTTTCAGAAAATTATACAAAACAGATGTTGGTTCTTACAGGAGTGAAGTGAGGAGACGGGTGAGAGGGCAGAGGATAAGGAGGGGAAGAAGGGGACATAGAAGAGGAGGGAGAAGAAGAAGACAAAGGAGCCATGTTTAATTTGTTATCTATCTCATTTTTGGAGAGGTCTGTTCTTTTTATTTGATACTATAAGAGGTGGATTAACTTTTTTTTTTATTTTTGATTTTTTAAATTAATGTTGTGTCTCGTGGTTCAGTCTCTTTTCGTTTTCTTTCACTTTCTTAGGTTGCTTCTTCGTCGTGTTGTAATCATGGCGATGAATATCACAGGCAGACATTCAAGTGTTACTACTCGCTGTAGATTCTGAAAACAGTGAAATTATGTAATTAGATTTTCGTGACATCCCTATATTTTCTAGGCCGTTAAAAATGTATGATTATTTCTTTCTGCAATTTTGCATGTAAAGTTTGCATTAAAAACATTATTCCAACGTCGACATTCAGAATTTTTTTTTAAACTCATATCACTTTTAATGTGAAAATACAAGTCTTTACTGTTTGAATGCCCCATTAAAAATCAATATGCTTAGCAAAATCATTTTACCATTAGGAGTAAAAATTTAGTAGTCACAGAAATTATGAATATTATGAATCTGGCATTTGAGTTTAAATAATAATTTCTTCATATAGATGTATAATTGACATGCACGACAGAAAAAAGAAAGAGTGAAATAGAATTCCAACATATTATCTAAGAACATTTCATTTCAAAATGCCATTGCCTTTGAAGAAAGTAGTTGTTTAGTTCAGAACACCTAAATGCATCGAGTCACTAATTGAGATAAAATGTCGAAATAGCAGCATCAAATTATTAATAATAGCCCACCAAATCCTGACCACTTAGGTTAGGCTTTCAAATCACAATTAATTAAGATTTGTATTATATTGAATTTAGTTAGGTACTGTAATTTCTTCCCTAATAAGCAATCAATGACAATAGCATAATCAACTTGTTGACTGCACAGTACACCATTAAATGTGAACAATACATATATCACTATCAGCTGGCCTATAGAATTACAGGATGGGATGATTAATTACTAAACGCAGTTGCTGCCAATTTGAATTTATATGGGCAGCAACTGGGGTCAAATTGTAGGACCACAATTATTCCAGATTCAAATCAAACGGTAATCAAGAATTCCCAAGCTTAATAAAACTTAACAGAATCTTGTAAGATCCAAAGTAAAAAGAATAAATGAATCTCGAAATGAGATTATTGTTCTACCAAAAAATAATATAGCAATACTCGTGAATAATAATAATAATAATAGTAATAAGAAGAAAAATGGTCAATTTTAATTAGTCTAATAAAAAATGATTCCAAGTGGCATTTATCCAAAATATTCTAAACTCTTCCCTGTAGGTCAGCTATTCTGGCCACAGAAAATAAATTATCTTGACAATTCCATTTGAAGGGTCACCCTGCTGTGTGTGTGTATATAACATGAACATCTACTATCAGAAATAGAAAATAAGGAATTTTCCTGAGACGATGACAAGAAATTCTCAGATTATAATAATATTGTTGTGTGAAAGTGCTGAATAGCATTCAGCTTAATAGTATTTCTTGGAAAAAAAATCAAATGTGGTACCCATCCATTAAATACTTTTGCAGTCGGATACATTTTTCGTAGCTTTTAAATTGAATGAAGTGAGAGTGAGTGAGAAATGTTGGCATTTCCATCCATATTCCATAGTCATAATAAAACTCTGCTATGTTGAATTTAAGAAAGATATGCTTTTAAATTACCCTCTCTGAAGAATAATAGATTAAGGAGAAAAATAGGGTTGGACCGTACTGAGGGATAATTAATGAGATGGTTGAAGTAGAGGAATTGTCGCATTTATGACCATCTAAGATCTTCAACCACTCACATTTATTCCATGGATAGATGAAACTCTTACTCAATGCGGTGGATGTAATGCCACAACCAACGTAACTCTAAAGAGAGAGATGGGTTTCGCATCGCATGTGAAGTTAATAAATGAGACGAGAGGGAGGGAAAGAGTCTGGACTCTGGAGTGGTCCCGTTGTCAATTTTTGGCAGCCGCTGACCTGTGTAAAGTGCACCCTATTTTTTTTGTATGAGATCACGTGTATGGTTGCCCCTACTTGTCCTTCTTGCATGGGTAACTAAGCACACTATCCACAGATCCAGATCGAACACCTCTGCTCTGATCAAAGAGGCCCACTCTATACAAAGTAGAAACCGTCGCCATTATTTAGTGTTTTGTTCAACTTCAAACATTTCAGGATTTAGAATGCAACCGCAGTACATATATATAATGTTTCAGGACTTGTAGAGTTTAAATGATGGAATATTTGAATTTTTCTTTATGCTGGTTTAACATTCAGATCAAAGTAGTATTGTGTTGGGAAAAAATTACGCAAAATCCCCTTTACGAGGGAGCAAAAGAAAATAATAACACACAATTTGATAACGGAGTTCGGCCAATCTTGCCTACGTCTCCGGACTGCCACTTACGAGGGAGCAAAGAAGAAAATATAACACACATAATTTGAATAACGGATGTTCGGCCAATCTTTGCCTACGTCTCCCGGATACTGCCAACAATGATCTTTTATAGGGAAATAAATTACAAGTGGTTTTACATACACTCACAACGCCTCTATTTAAGAATACCCGGAAAATTATAGGCTTAATTTTTCCTTCATTGATATGAAATCTCAACCTATTTTTCTCTCCTCACAATTGCTCTCTCACAATTGCTCTCACTCTCTCTGTCTTGTTGGTGGGTGTTAAACGGAGCAAATCCTCTCCTATTTATAGGAGAGGAGGATGAGAGGCGTGTTAATTTATACACGGCACTCCATCTTCGTCAAGGTCGCTTCCAACTTCTGCCAACTTTGGTTTTTTCTTTTCATCACGTGTGTAGGTACACTTAAAAGCTTTGACATCTCCCACTTGATAGACTGATTTCAATCTGTCTTCACCACCTTAATTCTGCGGGGCAATTTCTCTGGTCTGTTTATTCTAAGCAGGACTGAAGTCGAGCACAACTTCAGTTTGTCAATGGTCACACTTGTTAACATGTCTGCTGGTTCTTACTTCGCTTGGATTCTTCTCCAGTATTAACACATCATCTTCTAAATCAGAGATCTGATGAAGTGATAACGAAGTCCCAATATGCTTGGTTCTGGAATGAAATGGCTGAATTTTTTTGCAAGTGTATTGCACTCTGACTACTGTACAAAACATTCTTTTTCTGTTTGAAACCCAACTCTGTTAACAAACCTTGAAGCCATATCATCTCTTTGCTGGCTTCTGTCACTGCGACATATTCAGCTTCTGTGGTGGATAAAGCTACAATCTTCTATACTTGTGACATCCAACAAACAGCTGTAGTACCAACAGTGAAAATATAACCTGTGGTGCTTCTTCGGTGATCAATGTCGCCTCCATAGTCTGCATCTACATAACCTTGTACTTTTAATTCTCCTTTACCAAAGTACAAACACTTTTCAGTACTGCCTCGTAGATACCTCAAAATCCACTTTACAGCTTCCCAATGAGCTTTCCCTGGATTTGACATATACCTGCTAACAACTCCCACTGCATGGCCAAACTGCATGGCCAATTATCCTGGTCTTCGTACAGACTATCCTGCAATACATAAACTTCCTTATGGCTGAAGCATAAGGAATTTTGGCCATGTCTTTTCTCTCTTTCTTCCGTCTGAGGGGACTGGTCCTTGGATAGGCGAAAAATTGGCTAGCCAGGGCTGTGCTGACCGGCTTAGCTTCGTTCATAATTGAATCTTTGCAATACACGATTGGATGTAATCGCCTGAGATAACGCAAAACCTGTTTTGCTTTATCCTCCTCGTGATTTGCATTCCAAGAATTTTTTCGCTAGACAAGTCCTTCATGTCAAATTCTTTGAGCAATTGCTTCTTTCAAGTTTCCTGATATCATCCATATTTGAAACTGCTACTAACATTCATCAAGCATCAAAGTTCAGTAAAATGATATAATGGACCTGTATCTTTTTGAAGAAGGCAACAGTGGGTCAGGCGTTGCCTTTCTGGACCCTTCATTGTGCATGCAAACTCGTCGAACTTTTTATAGCCACTGTCTTTGGAGCTTGTTTCAGTCATACAAGCTCTTCTTAGTTTTTGCACACCATATTCTCTTTTCCTTTTTCTGAGAATCCTTCTGGCTGGTACATGTATATCTCCTTATCCAAGTCTCCGTGAAGAAACGTCGTCTTTACGTCCAACTGCCCAAGGTAGAGCCCTTTACCGGCAACAATACTCAACACAGACCTGATTGTATTGAGTTTTACAACTGGTGCAAATATGTCGGTGTAGTCAACTCCTTCCTTCTGTTGGAACCCATTTGACTACTAGTCGAGCTTTGTATCTCTTGGAACCATCATGTTCCTCTTTCACTCGATACACCCATTTGTTGTGAAGTGCCTTCTTTCCTACGGGTAACTTTCTTTTTTTCCTACGGGTAACTCAGCTAGTTTCCCATGGTTTGATCTGGAGATTAAAGACTTCATTTGTTTCATGGCAAGCTCCCCACTTTGCTGGCATCTGTGTTTGACATGCTTCCTCAAAAGCATTCAGAGTTCTCCTCCATCTGTTAATAACAAATAATTCAATATATTTTTGTTAGGCTTTTGGTAGGACGTTCAGACCTTCTTAAAGCTTTTGGAGGAGAAGTTTGTGGTGTGTCAGTTGATTCTCCTATTGAGTATCTTTAAATTAACTCATTCGGCAAGACTTTCCTGAGATATCGTCCTCTCTAAAACACTGGCACCACACTCTGCTCTGAGTCGCTGGCAACCTATGGTCAATGTCTGTTTTGTAGCATCTATTCTTTCATTGAAGACCAATTCTCTGCTGTTGGCGGATCACTTTCTTTGTTTTCGCTTCATCCCAGCGGTATCCAAACTCATCACCGCCATAGCCAATGAAAATGCATTTCTTAGATTTGGGATCAAGCTTATTCCTGCCATGATCACTTATATGCACATATGCTACACAACCGAAAACTCTTAAGTTTGAGAGTTTTACTTCTTTTCCACTCCATACCTCTTCTGGTATTTTGTACTCCAATGGTACCGATGGACCTCGGTTGATCAAGTAAGCTGCTGTGTTGAATGCTTCTGCCCAGAACTGCTTTGGTAAGCCTGATTGTACACGTAAGCTTCTGGCTCTTTCTGTCAACGTTCGA